TTCAACAAAGCAAAAACCGCAAGGTGTCTTTTTATATTTATCTAAACCCATAATAACTCTTCGGACGTCTCCACATTTTGAAAACAATTCGAATATTTGCTCTTCAGTTGTGTAAAAGGATAAATTGCCTACGTAGAGGGTTGATGATGTTCTTAAGAGACGATCTTGTTCACTCCGAGACCCCTGAGGAAATAAATTATAAAAGGTTATTAAATATATGTTAATTTATTTAATACAGCAGACCTTATAATTGTATGTTGTACTTGTATATGTCTAGTACAAACCAAATTCAAAGAAATACCAAAATTGACGAGTTTTCATAGAAATTTTCAAGATATTCACTTTTTATGAGAAGAGTACCTTCAAGTCTGAGCATGTATTCTACGTTAAGCACATTCCTTTAAGAATCTATAATCATTAACAATCTACTTTAATAACAAACACTACTCGATGAGTTTTTTTTAAGAAATTTTGAAGATTTTTATGATATATAAAAAAAGCACCACAGTATGTATTTCAAACTGAGACAATGAACAAGAAATGTTTAGAAACTTATAATAATTTTTGTATTTGTCTTAGAATATAGTAGTTTTAATACATTATACTTTAATATGCCTACTTTGATAACATATATTAATAAGATTTTTTTGTAAATTTTCAGGATATTTACAATTTTATGAAAAAAGTATCTCCTAGTCTAATTGCAAGTATGTGTTAAATTGATACAATGATCGAGAAACGTTTTAAAAATATATATAGTTTTGATTTCATTTAATATAAGCAGTCTTAGACATGTAATATAAAAAAATATGTAAATATTTTTCCTTTTATTTTCTTGGTGCAATACAATAAATGTTGAAGCATCAGCAAACTTTGTTACACTACAATTTTAGTTTAGAAAGCAAATAACTAACAAATATTATGAATAAAAAATTACCCTAGGGTGCTTAGGAGCATTGAGAGATCTCTAAATTCTAACGAAACAAAAAGTTGTGATTTCCATAAGAAGAAGTCAACGTTAAATTAAATTATATTTATATATAAAAACATTCAACATTTTTTTCAACAAGCCTTAGAGCAGTACTAATTATTATTATGTATACATATATGTGTCATCTTCACTTCATTCATCAGAAATATTTGAACACAGTTTTGTATGGAAAAATCTACTGAAAATATTGGTTCTGAGGCTACTATTTATAACAATTATCTGTAGACAACTATTATGCAATGTAGGCGGTACTTTTTCCATAAAACAGTAATACCTTGAAATTTTCTAAGAAACTTATTTAATAATAATTATTCAAGCAGTAAATAAACTACCTAACCTATATTACACATATATCTGTTACCTTAAAATGTTGATCCCGGTACGAACTTAATTCTACGGACGGTGAAGTAACAGTGGTCATATTAATATTCACTTCACTTTTGTCTAATTATTACCTGTAAACTTCTTTATAAAATAATAAATTTAATAAACATTCAATTTTGTTTGATATTCGAATAAATATTAGTTCGCTGCAAAATGTCAAATCGGCCATCTTGCATGACAATATTATCGATGAAGTTGGTATCGATTGAGACCGCGGGATATTTGAAAATGGAAAAGAAAGAATGTAAAAATCAGATGCATGATTGGAATTAGTGACATGAATTTAATTTAAAAACTAGTTGCGTATATGGCATCGTGCCTTAAGGCAAATTACTGGAACTTTCCGTACCGTAACGAAATGTTCGAGAAATACTGAATGTTTTCAAATAGATTATATTGTAACATTGTCTAATATGTATAAGAATTATATAAAATGAATTGCAGAGTTGAAAATATTTGTTTAAAGTATATTTGAACTTTAGTCAGAATTAAAAATAAAATCTGAATTATTTTCGATATACAAAAAAATATTTTTTTGAAAAAAGAAAAAAAAAATTTAAACAAAATTTTTTTTTCCAAAATCAATTATTTTGTTAAGACAAGCAAAAAGTTCTTTGAATCATTTAAATCGGACGCTTAGTTCTCTCAAAAACTGCTATTTTTTACACATTTAGCTCCGTATCTCTGAAACGGATGAACCTGCCTTTGCCAAAAACTAATCACTACTTCTCCCGATCATTTCAAATTGAATATCTTTTGGATCATTCAAATCGGATGCTCCGTTCTCTCAAAAACTCGATTTCTATTTTCTGCACTCTTTGCTCTTTATGTCCGTAACTGCTGGACCTGCCTTTGCCAAAAACTAATCAGCACATCTTCCTATCAATATAGGAATCGAATGTTTTTTGAACCATTCAAATCGGTTGATTCGTGCGCCCGAAAACGCAACTGGAAATTTGTATCCATACATACATACATAGACACACACATCCATTTTTTCTGAGGTATGTCAAAATGTTCAGAAACCTTCAAAACGTCGAGAAATGTAAACATTTTCAATTTCGATTTTCGGCCCATTGCAACAACTTATCCTACGGGAAGTTAAAAAATGTAAAAAATCAGATGCATGATTGGAATTAGTGACATGAATTTAATTTAAAAATACATATATAATGTCTTAAATATTAGTGACACGTTTTTGAATTTACAATATTTTTTACACTCAGACTCATTGTTAAAGTAAAACTTCTTTAGACGTGACTAGGGTGAAAATTACAAACAGTACAAAATCCTCAACAAATCTAGAATTCTTCAAAATTATAAATCCTTAAAACTAAAAAACTAAAACCTAAAATCTAGAAAACTTAAAATCCAAAAATCCTCAAATCTAAGTGTGTGTGTGCGAATACAAATTTTCGTCGATGATTTCGCGAATACGGATCAACCGATTTGAATAATTCGATTCCTACTGATAAGGAGACGTGGTGATTAGTTTTTGGCAAAAGCAGGTCTAGCCGTTTCGGAGATACGGGGCAAAAAGTGCCAAAAATGGTATTTCAGTTTTTGAGATAACGGAGCGTCCGATTTAAATAATTCAAAAAACATTTTACTAATATTGACGAAATAAACAACTGGTGAAATTTTTGCAAAGGCAGGTGCAATCTAGAAATCTTAAAATCTAAAAATCCTAAAATCTAAAAATCCTCAAATCTAGAAATCCTAAAATCTAGAAATCTTAAAATTTAGAAATCCTAAGATCTAAAAAACCTAATAACCCTTTTGGCAAGAAGTTAACATAAAGCCCTCTTAATGTTAACATTATTCAAGATCTGATATCAGAAATGATGACCAAAAAGATAAAGTTAACATAAAGCTCTCTTATGAGCCATCTAGTGTCATCTTTAAGAGATCATCGAAAAGATATCAGAAAGATAACATTTTTCAGAGATCATAATGTTAACATTTTTCAGAGATCGTAATATTAACATTTTTATGTTACAAATAAGAGGCTATTGTATAATTGATAATAAGGAAAAAATTGTTTAAATAATTTTTATTTGATAACACAATAAAAATAATATTACATTTCCATATAAGTAATCTTATCAATATTTTTACTATTTTTGATTATTATAATTAGTGTTATTTAAGGCGATCGCCAGCATGTTGGAACCATGACTTGAAAACTTTTTCAATTCTTTCCTTATCAGAGTCACTCCATTTTTGTAAAACTGCATCTGAAAAATAGAATTATGAATAAAGTTACAGTTTTAAGATTGAAGTAATTCGTATTCTATTCAATATAATGAGACAAACTGAGTTAGAAAATAACAAAAGTTTAGGCAAGCTTTACCTGTGATCAATTTTATAAATATTAAGCCGTCGATCTTGATCGTATTTTTGACACCTGTCCAACTCATGTTATAAGCCATAACATCAGAAACAGTCAACACCAACGCGTTCCTTACATGCTTTTCAAAACTTGCACCGCCAAGCTGCCTAACATTTTCTCGCTTTGAAATAATAACAGAAAAAAACAAAGCAATGAAGATATAGTAATTTGAAAACAATAAGTCTAAGACATAATTGAACTAGTGGGGTGGGTGGCATCGTGCCTTAAGGCAAATTGCTGGAACTTCCCGTACCGTAATGAAATGTTCGAGGATTACTGAATGTTTTCAAATAGATTATTATAAATATTGTAACATTGTCTAAAATTTATAAATATTATATAAACTGAATTGCAGAGTTGAAATTATTTGTAAAGTATATTAGAACTATAGTCAGAATTAAAAATAAATATTTTCGATATACAAAAAACTAAAAAAAAAAAAAAAAAAAAAAAAAAAAAAATGGGACAAATTTTTTTTTTCCAAAATCGATTATTTTGTTAAGACAAGCAGAAAGTTCTTTGAATAATTTAAATCGGACGCTTAGTTCTCTCAAAAACTGCCATTTTTTACATATTTAGCTCCGTATCTTCAAAATGGCTGGGCCTGCCTTTGTCAAAAACTAATAAACACTTCTCCCAATCATTACTAATTGAATGTTTTTTAGATCATTTAAATCGGATACTCCGTTCTCTCAAAAATACGATTTCTATTTTCTGCACTCTTTGCTCCGTATCTCCGAAACGGCGGGACCTGCCTTTGCCAAAAACTAATCAGCTCTTTTCCCTAACAATAGGAATCGGATGTTTTTTGAACCATTCAAATCGGTTGATCCGTGCGCCCTAAAACGTGACTGGAAAATTGTATCCACACATACATACACACACACAGACACACACACATCCATTTTTTCTGAGGTATGCCAAAACGTTCAGAAACCTTCAAAACGTCGAGAAATGTAAAAATTTTCAATTCCGATTTTCGGCCCATTACAATAACTTACCCTACAGGAAGTTAATAGTAAGCAGAAATAAATTGATAAGTAATGAATAGAAATTTGATCATGCAATTAGGTTTATAGGTTCAAAGTTAAATTTGCAATAAAAAAAACTTACATATTGAGTAGCTACACATTTTGAATTTTTGTCTCAAATACTGCCAACTGACTCCGAGTTTGGATTGGCAATCCAAAATCTATTTTTTCCTTGACAGAATTGTTGGTGATGTCATTTTTTTCTGAGAGCATCAAATAAATTGACGAAACCAAAGTTTTCAAACTTTTCACTTTGCTTAATAATTTCCCTGTCCATACATGAATATTGCAAAATTTATAATAACGATAATACAAATATGAATAAGAACATTTTAATTACTAAATTAATACTTACGACAACAGTCATGACCATGCGTATCCACCTCACTTGAAACAGAGAAAGACGTCTGGTCATCAGCTGGAAGTTCTGAGGTCGAATAAAGATAGGAGACGGTTGTTCCATACTTGATTGACGAGAGGGATCTATTTAAATAAATAAAAATTGGATTAAGTCAATTAAATAAAATTAAAAAAAAAAAATTTTTTTAAATGCAACCATACCAATGCTATCAGAGTTGTTATTTAAACGAGGAGACTGAGGACTATCCTTCCGCCAAAAATCAAAATCTTGTACTAACTGTGACTTCTGCTGACCATTATTTTGAGTCATGTAGGTAGTAGGAGGCATTTCAATATTATCAATTTCGCTTTCTGAAAATAAAGTGTTCGATTAATATGGAACGAAATGATTGTTTATAATTAAATAACTTTATATGTTCCATACCTTCACTTTCACAAGAACTTAATACCGATGCTGGCCTTTTCTTACATTTAGTTTCTATATAATAAATAAAATTAATATTAAAATTATTAGAGAAAAGACTTTAGGTAAAGATAAAATAAATACCTACCATTTTGTACAGGGATAGAGTCATCTTCTGTATCACAAAAGCGTAAAGGTTTACGGCACATCCTCTTTCCTTTGTCTGCTATATCTAATTTTTTATTAGCTTTAATAGCAGCAAAACCATCATTTGTAGACAGATTTAGGGCATCTAATTCAAAATCTCGTGCTTCATCATACGTCTCTGTTACAAAAAGCATATGATAATTAAATAAATTATTATCTCACTATTGATATAATGTAATATATTATAGTAAATTAGATAATTAAATGCCTATAGTGAATTACTGCTAACGTTAGCATATTCATAATTGTAAGCTCAAGTACAGAAATACATGAAGAGATTAGAAAAAATTATTTTTGATCAACGATTATATCCTGAGTGTTCTCATTGGCGCGCTGATCTGCCACTTTCACACGTGCAGCATCCAATTTTTCGGCATACCAATGGGAATTATACCCACACTTAGGTCCTAGGTTATCCACAATCAATAATAATGATTATGTATATGTATGCAGCAAATTGTACAATAGTAGAACTAGTATTCACGGTTTTTAGGCATATTTTTTACACTAGTTGGTTATAGCTTTCATTTTTTTCTGATTATGGATTCAATCTTGAACTACACATCTTGAAAGTAAATTATCATTGCTGAGATCGTCGTAAATCGGTTTAAAAGCTTTTAAAACTAGACTAGAATTTCTAAAATCTAGAAATTCTAAAACCTAACAAACCTAAAAGCCTAAAAGACCTAAAAACCTAAAATCTAAAAACCTATTATCTAAAAAACCTAAGATCTAAAAAATCTGAAAACTAACTGTAATATAAATATAATTACAAAAATATAAAAATTACCTTTTTTTTAATTATTTCCATCCGAAGAATCATAACAATAACAACTTTGGTGTGATATCATTTGCAAATGCGCAAAATGTTTGTGGAAAATTTGTTGGAATCTAAAATAAAACTCGATTGACTAATCTGCCACTAAAATAAATATATATGTTTATTTTCAAAACTCACCTCATAGCATATGGCAATTATTAAACTGAATATTTCTTCTTGCAAATGTTTAGATGTTTTAATACAATTTACACCATATAACTTCCTAACGTTTGATAAAAATTTAAGAAGCTCAATGGCAAGTTTGGAGCACTTGCAACCATTGGGGACAACAAATTTTAAGATCTTTACTAATGTTGATAGATCCAGGTTTAAATTAGTGTTGAGAAGTTTCATACAGAATTCACACAACTCTGAAATAAATAACATACATATGTATAATAAATATATAAATATATATTCATAATAATATTTGTGTTTACCCATCCATTGTGAGGGCATACAATCATCGTACAAATTTTTTATAGATATTGTTTTAACAAGAGCAATAAGATAAATGTCGCCGCCTTGTTTCAACACAGGCCTAATTGATAAAAAATAAAAATCGATTTTTCAAAATTCCAAGTACCACTGACCCAGTATTGGCTTGACTTTGTTTTCTGGGATACTATATACATATATATATAAATATTTTTACAATGACTTACCTGAGCCATCATTCACCAACATCAAAACCAAAATATCCTCCATCAACTTCAAGCTTTCATCACTTTTAAACATGAAAGCTTAAAGTTGTTGGATGATATTTTGGTTTATTTAACAACGTCGATTTCAAAAATCTGTCCATTAAAATTGGTTCGTTTAAAGTTTAAGTTGAAGTAAAGTTTAAGAATTGTCGGTGAATTCGTACTCGAATGTTTTTAAAGTTTAAACATTCAAGTACGAATTCACCGACAATTCTACAACAAGAACTGACTATTGATTCTTGTTATCCTAGACAAATAACATTTCTGCAAGTCATTTCAAATAATTTAAACCATTTTTCTGTATATTCAACAGTGGTGAAGATCACTAATTCAACGAATGCTTCCACACAATTGCTTAATAAATCAAAGTGATCTGATACTGAACATGAATCCTGTAAATAAATAAGTTTATTAAATAGTAATTTATAAATTTTATTTATAGTTATATTATCTGGTTTACCTTAACGTTAATAAGAAGTTCTACAAATGAATTTCCATCAGCATGGCTCAATTGTTCAGGATATTTATTTTCAAATGCACAATATGGCGCAAACCTAGAACAAAATAATACTTAAACACTTTTATTAAATGGCATTAAAATATTCCACGTACCTGTTGCAGACAAAAGTTGATAGAATTAAATAACTTCGACCACACATCATCCGGATTATTTAATTCTAAGTTCTTTGTTAAAATATGAGACAGAGCTTCATAACCTTTTCGGCCATCTGCAACTTTAACCGATTCTATTTGTGTACTTATACTTAAAATTAATCTGTCACTCGACGACATGATTATTAATTTATACCCAAAAAAACCTAAATGTAAAAAATAACAATAAATTATAAATAATTAATGAAGGAATGTTTTTAGAAGTACTTACCCACTTACAAAAATCGTCGGTTAGGACAAATTGCACAGTGACTGTTGAAGTCGTTGAAGTTTTCGTGTCTGTTGAAGTTTTCGTGTTGCCAGAGACGAAGAATAAAATTGACAGATGATTGAGATTGCCAGAAAAGAGGGGAGAAAATATGGCAGCATATTCAAATATTGTTAAGAAGAATACTACAAATACTAAGTGCACTTTTTGATATTTATGGCATCGTGCCTTAAGGCAAATTGCTGAAACTTCCCGTATCAAAAAAAAATTTTTTTAAAAAACGAATAAAAAACGAATAACATTTTTGAAATAAAATTACTTCGAAAAAAATGAGTTTTTTGAAAAACTATAAATTGGACAAAAAATTACTTTTTTTTTATTTTGACATATTTTGGAAGATCTAAACTTTTTTTTCAAAGCAATCGTACTGCTTTAACTTCATAGAGACAAAATATAAAGCGCGTAAGCGTTGCGTCGCTGTCTAACGGATAAACATTGGTACAGAATCCATAGGAATGTAAACAAAATTTATACTTATTGTTGAAATCTCTATAAAATATCTGATAATTTGATGGGCTAATGTCTAATGATCATTTTTGACCGCTAAATGGCAAATTTTTTTTTACTTTTTTCGTTAGATCTCCGAAACCGCTAGACCTGCCCTTATGGAAAATTAGATCAATTCTTCATCTTGTCAATACAAGTAAAATGTTTTTTGAATTATTAAAATCGGGCGCTCCGTTCTCTTAAAAACTGAGTTACCGTTTTTGTCACTTTTTTCCCGTATCTTCAAAACGGCTGGACCTGCATTCGCCAAAAACTAATCAGCACGTCTCCTTATCTATACGAATCGAATGTTTTTTAAATTATTCAAATCGGTTGATCTGTGTTCCCGAAATCGTCGACGAAAATTTGTATCCGAACACACACACATACACGCACACACACACACGCGCGCGCATATATACATCCATTTTTTCTTTCACACAACTTTTAATTGTTAGAACAAAATTATATAAAAACAATTCATTAAACTTTACAATTAATATCGACGTTTATAATCTTTGGTTTATAATCACATTAATTTTGTTATAATTTAATTAAAAATATTATTATTACTATATATTGTTAGAAAGCTTATTAAATCAGCTATAATTATGTATATAACAGTTTAAAAGTCTTGAAACAAAATTGTTTGGAAAAAACATGATTAAAATTAATAAATAATAAATGAGTATTTTAGATTTTTACATTTATTTTTATATTAGTATATATATACAATTGGTAAATATTACTAGGATGCTCCAGCCAAATAAAACAGTTCATATTGCTGAAACTAACAAATTAACCATACAACAATTTTGTACTTTACATAAATCTCATTTGATTTTTATAATCAATAAAGATTAAACTTTTTTTATATTGCCTCACATTAATATAATGCAGCATCTTTAAGATCGTCTTTTATTTTCTCTCAAAACCTCCTCCTCATCCGAAGTCGAGGAATCATCGACCACTTGCCTTCTGGGGGGTTGTGACCTGCTACTACGTCTGGTAGCAATGCTGTCCTCGAATGTAACTGACATGTTCTGAGATCCTTGTCTGTTCTTCTTTCGTGGCTTACCAACTGGTTTCTTTGTAAGTTTTCTCCTCGCCTCTTCCATATTCTCTTTGTCTTGATTTACATCTAGCAGAGCCTCGATTTTGTTATCCAATTCCGTGCATAAAGTCTAAAAGAAAAAAAAAAAATTGTATGTTAGGGTATCAATGTATTTATAAATTGATGTATATATATATATATATATATATATATATTTTACCTTCATTTCGGGCTTAACCGACTGCTTGTTGCCAAGTGCGACTATATTTTTGAACACTGTATAAACTTCAGGAATATTTAGATGCGTCCGGAAGATTTCAAAGTTGTCGATGAGAACCTGAATCGACTTCAGGGTGTAGTTCAAAATGGATAAACAGAAAGCGAGATTGCATATTTGTGCTGTGTCTGTAGCAATTTGTAAACGAAGACATAGTTTTTGTACCAATCCGTCCATGTGTCTATCTTTACTAATATAACTGAGAATAGACCTAGAAAAAACAAATAAATAAACATATATATATATATATATATATATATATATATATACATATATGTCTATTAAAATTTCTATTTACTTCATTATTTTCTGGAACTTGGCTTCCACCAAATTCATTGCAGGATCAGTCATTTTTGAAATGATATCAGGAAGAGCATTGTACAGATTTTGGTCCTTGGTGGACATTTCTTTAAAGAAATGTTCGGCCAAGGTTTTCAAAGCATCATCTTCGTCGACCAAAAACAAAGCAATGTCTGATATGTAACTTTTTGGTCTCATGATATTTGTTAAAATCAACTGGCAGATGAATTTTAGGCCAATCTTCTTCACCTCGGAATTATCATCCTTTAATCTGAAATTGAGATATAATTAGGTGTAAGTGACGCCCAATATGTAGCAGTCTTTTATCTTTACCTTTCAAAAACATAAAGCTCCCACGGCTCAACGACCGTCGGAAACCTGAACAGCAAATCAGCGAATCCAACAATGATATTCGTCTTGACAACAGGAAATTTGGAATGTCTCAAAACAGTCATCAGCAACTGGATGTTCTGCCGACATGCCTCCGAAGAGATGCACATAAAACTCATCAAAGCGCCAGAGGCATCGACTTCCAAATCGTCATCATCGAACTTGTTCCTATGCTCCAGAATATCTTTGACGAAAGGTAAAACGTAACTGAACGCTGCAGGCTCTTGCAGGAGTTCCTTTTCCATGATGTCGTTGACGAAGTTTGCTTCCAAATCGTCAGAATTGATGCACTCTTGGTATTCGTTGTCTTCGTTGTCGTCGTCCATGTGCGATTTCTGTAGAAAATGATTTTTTCGATGGAAAACATGATAGGATACAGCTATTATTATTACATTAATATTACAAAAATATCACTTACATAACTCTGATTATTTCTAATGCTCCTAGAAGCGGATTGCAACTTCGATGCCCTAGGATTCGAATTGACGCTCGGTGTCTCCGACGAAGTACTTTGCCTGGTGTTCTGCTGTATTTCTTTCCTTCTACCCAACTCACTGTAGACGTTGAGATCGAGGAATGCGATGTGATTATTTGCAACTTGTCCGACTGTGTGCAAAATTCTGCTGACTCTCCAGGATTTCATTTTATCGTCCAGAGTCAAAGTTCCTTTATTTTCGGCATGCAGCATCGCGGAAACTAATTTCTCCATTAGCAAATGGGGCTGATCGGCACCCTGGGGTAAAGGAAATACGGGTAAGTGACATTTGTAATAATCTATCAAACACCTTAATCGCCAAATCAGTCCTATGTGTCTGACGCTATAGTTGTATATGACACATATATGTATGACGTAAGCAATTTAGTAGAAGGTGAAAATAAATTTTAATATAGGGCCATGCCAGTCTTATATGTGTGACATACAAATTTTCTCCAGGAATTTTGGCAAAAGAAATTTCTTTATTACATTAAGCTTTTTTGATACATTTTTAACTAAATTATCTAATAAAGTTGCCATAACGATTTTTTTTATATTATCGTGGCGATTAACGTGTTCAGTAATATGAATAGAGATTTAGCAACTTTTAAAATTGTGGCATTGAAATTTTGAAAATTTGACACGGCCCATTATGTTCAATTTTAAATAAAACACTTTTCACGGGCCTATAATATTTTACAGCAATTGTTGAAAACAAACTTAACAATCCATTACGAAAGAATACGACAAATCGACGATTAAATAAAATCTTCTGTAATTCAAAATCTTGTTAGAAAACTTTTCCATTTCAGTATGTGTTACTGTTTTAGACAATTTAGAAAGTAATATATTCAAATTATATTGATCTAGTATAAACGGTGCGTCCTGTAGAGCTTGTTAAATAAGTCTCATAAAGGAACATAATAAAACAGAAGTGCGAGTGTAAGAAAATCTCTTCAACTCGAATTTTTGTTAAAAGACCTATTGATTATATTATTTGGTCTTGTAATAGACATTTTAAAGTATAACATATCTGAATTTCAAGATTGTAGAGTCCAGTAGAGCTCTTTGAAAATATTAATCACTCGAGAGTCATTTCGCCCACACTTTGCATCTATTTATACAATCGCTTTTATAACAAAATATTGTTAAAAAATTTATCAATTTTAAAATTTTATCTTATAATAGACACTTTGAAGTATAACATATCTGTTATATAAGATTGTGGTACAAGCGGTACATCCAGTAGAGCTCTTTGAAAACATTAATCTTCTGAGAAGCATTTCACCCATAGATCACCTTCGCATATAACATATATTAATAAAATATTGTTTATTAAAAAATATTGTTAGAAAGCCTATCAATTTTATAATTTGTTATCACAATAAATACTTTGAGCTATGACGTGTCCAAATTACAAAGTTTTATTACAAACGGTGCTCATCAAAATACCATTCAATCTTTACTGAACAAAATCATAATCGGTTCAAGATTTGTGGAGTAGGGAATGCAATACCGGTATACCGGTATACCGAATTACCGGTAAACCGCCAGATTTTTCGGCGGTATTTTTACCGGTATTTATTCAAAAAATACTGGTATTTTCGGTATTTTTACATTTGATACATAATACATTAAAATTAAAATTTCTCGGAACAAATTTATCTTTAAATTCCACAATCGCATAAACAGCTATATCTTCAAGTGATTCTATAGGATAAACAAATGTCAGCTCGTCATTAAACTGAATATTTATTGTTATACTAAGGGCTACATATCGCGTTACAATAAATATAATTGAAGTGATAGATAATGATGTTTGTTTCATCCTATGTAAAAATGTAACAGTTTTTTTTTAAGTTATATTTGCGCTGAAATATTTTATATCATATAGATTACCTCTGCGTAATCTTTATTTTTTTCTAACTTTATACATAATAATAATGATAATTACCAAATATTTTTGCTTCTTATTACAATTATAAAATTTTATTTTTCGAAAACGTTTCGAAGTTTGAAAATACTATAGAACCATCACATTGTTTTAAATAATACTCAACAATTATAATAACTTATTATTTATCTCGACAAAGTATCCGATCTTAAATTAATGTAGAAAAATTATTTTTGGAGATTATGCTAATTTAACACATCGGATACAGACAATACAGTTTATTATAATAATGTAATATGATGTTTTGTGAGTTTTTGGTCTTTCTTACTCATAAGTTTGTTTTTGGTGAAAAGCACTCAATATACTCGATAGTGATAATGAATTAATTAAATTGGATATAATTTTGTTCAATTATTATTTAAAAAAATAAATGTATTGCTTTATTTTATTGTTTAGTTGAATATAGTTGTAGTTGTATATACATTTTTTTATACTTGTACTAGTAACTTTCAATTTTGTTTACATTTGTTTAAGATAATAAAAATACTGAGTATTGAAATACTAAAAATATTGAAATTTTTCATCGGTATTGCAATCCCTATTGTGGAGCAAACATTTAGAAAAAAATTTATTCTTTCCTTTTTTAATTGTAAAGAAAGGGTTTGAATGATAATCTCACAAAACTAAACAATGCTAGTCCTTATCGAGTTACATCAAATGGCTTTTAAATTTGTAAAATCGGTTCAGCCGTTTTAAAATAAACATTGATGAATTATCAAATTTTGGCTCACACACACCAAATTAGTCCAATTTCCCTCTCATTCAATTCAGAATACGAATGAGGCGTCGACAAAACATAAAATTAGCAAGTCGGATTTTCTGGCAAAAATAGTTTAAAAAAATCTCTTACCGCATATACGACAGCCACGGCCCCATTGGCAAGTTGTCTAAACGAGCCAGTAGTCGAATCATTGAAATGATGAATCACTAAATCATGAATCTTGACAAAGATTTCCTCAGAGTTGTATTTTCTCGTTACAGGTTTATCAGCCGATCTCGATAGAGAAGCTGTGCTGGTCCACATATTTCTTAGCATCTGAAGAGTGTGTATCGCATACTGTATGTCGGTTTTGCTGGAATCGTCCAGGAGCGTAGACGTAACCACAGACAAATTGGTCCAGACAACGTTCGGCTTGTTACTAGAAAAGGATAGAACAAAATATACACAATTTATTATTGTTAGAGTTAAGAGTTTGGGTATAACCAAAATCAAACTAGTTGGTATTGGTATTTTGCCTTGAGACAAGTTACATGAACTTCCCGAAATGTGTGAATAATTGACTTAATCAATAAAAAATAAATTAGTTTACGAGTGGATTTATTACACATAATTGAAAACGACGAACACGTTAACTCGGAGTACCTTCAAAAAGCAACTTTTCAAAAATCAACAATTATTATATTTGAACCAGTTTCCGTAGGATTTTAATAGTTTAGTACAGTGATTCCCAACCTTTTTTGGGCCCCGCTCCACCTTGAGGTTTATAAAAACGTTATGCCCCCCATACAATTTTTTTTGTCTCTGAAAAAATGTAAATGATAACTTTTAAAATGAAATCGCTGTTAAATTGTTATTAAACATCATAAGTAAAATTTCGGAATAAGCCAAAAAAACGCAAATTTTAAACCAATTTTATTACTGCTTTTTCGAAATTTATTTAATTCCAAACTTATGCTAAAGTAAAGATTCTATATTAGGTTCTAACTAACTAAGCTTTTTTTTTCAATAAATTATAGCAAATTTTTGAACATATGATTACATTTGGGCATTTGGTTTCAGTTTCTTTATAATTATTAGTTAAAACTAAGAAGCATTTTTTTGGTAAATGTTTTGCCGATACTATACTACCTTCCATTAAAATCACCAAAATATTCAAATTGCCACCCTAGAATTACAAATTGCCTCCCGGTGGGGCGTGCGCCCCACGTTGGTAAACCCCGGTTTAGTATGTTTATTAAGACCAAGTACTATATTGTTATACCAAGTAAATCTAATCTAATTTTAATTTTAGCTAACGTCAAAAAAAACTACTCATTTTCTCAAACTTTGATGAATTTTTAAAATTTAACTACAGTAAGTTCTATAAGACCATGATATATATCGCTAATAAAAAATTCCACAAAAATCGGCTTAAATTTTTTTTTCAACAGTTAATTACAAGAAAACGGCTCGGTAGATTTTCACCTAAAACTAATCAGTACCATTCCCAACTAATATCTTTCAAACAGTTTTTGATTTTTTAAAATCGTTTTGGTAGGATGAGCTTAAATGTGGACGAAAAGTTTAACACTTTTTTCAAATTACAAAGAAACAGCTTGGCAGATCGTCGCACAAAACTAACAAATGATAGTCCTGATCGAAATACATGAAATGGCTTTTAAATTTCTGAAATCTGTTCAGGCGTATGAGAAAACGTCGATGAAAGGTCTAATTTTGACAAATGCCAAAAAAAAACGATAACACTTTTTGCAAACTTTGACGAATTTTCAAAGTTAAACCAATTGTCGTAGGGCCGTAATATTTTAGTATGATCTAGAAGACTATAGTATGTACCGTCAAAAAAATAATAAAAATCGTCTAAAAATTTTTTTTGACACTTTATTACAAGAAAACGCCCCGGCCTTTCTCTACCAAAAACTAATCAGCACGATTCCCAATCAATATCTTTCAAACGGTTTTTGAATTTTCATAATCGGTTCGAAGAACGTCTCGGCCGATCGTCCCACAAAACTGATAAATGATAGTCCTCGTCGAGACACATCGAATGGCTTTTAAATTTTTGAAATCGGCCCAGCCGTTTTCGAGAAAACGTCGATTTACGGTAAAAAATCTGTTCACATACACACACACACATACTACTACTTTTTCCAAATTTGGTCTCATTCTGTCAGCGAATCGGGTTTTTTGATGAAAACAAACTTCTCCTTCGGGAAGTTTGTATGTACTTACACTGCTATAAGTGACAATACGACGAGACAGGCATAGATATCATTGTCGGAAGTGCCTTCAATTTTCTTAGTGATCATTTCCCAACAAAGTTGGATAAGACTCGGACTTATCATATCATCCTTGATCCAATACTTGAATAAGAGACACATTGGATCTCTGTGGCTTTTCTTCATTTTACAGACGACGAAGCAGAGCTTTTTCAGTATATTGGCTGCATCCAGCCTAGAGGGAAAATATTTATAAATAATAGTAATAATAATATTAATAATATATATATGGAGAATTTTGTATCATCTATCCCCCCTACCTGGTGTTATTGCTCTTATCATCCATAAATATCTCGGTCATCATCTTATACACCTGTTCTTTATTCTCCTTCTGTGTTACAAGCAAATATAAAACTTGCAATAAGCTATCGTAAGCAGAACTGATTCCGAGATCAATAGAAGATGCAAAAAATGTTATCGCCTCATTGGAGTCATGGGCGGCCTTCGAAAACAGCATCTTTTCGATGATAGGCAGAGCTTTGGAGATGATTTCAGAGAACTGAATTGTCATTTTTAATATCTCGATCATCTAAATGAAAACAGATAAAAAATAATAATGGTAATGGTTTGTTGATATTATTATAAGATTTCTTACACTTGTTTGTTCGTCGATTTGTTTTTTCAAATCTTCAGAAATAGGGGCGACGTCATTGCCTTGGTTTTTCGGTTTACTCTGAAGCACCAGTTTTGTGATGACGCAAAAGAAGTATTGGGGTAGATCTTTTAATTCCATATCTTTCCTGAAAAAAAGAGCATCAAAATCATTATGAGGCAATTCTGCCGTAACAGAGTTCATAACATAGCGTTGTCATCGTTACGCTATTCTTAGGCATTTTAATTGGTAGTGAAAATTGTAAAAATGTCTAACTATTTGCTGTGTGATCAGGCGTATTTTACAAATAAACAGGCAAAGAAGAATGTTATGATAACAGAATCTTTGATGATGTAGTTATCATAAGATTCTTCCTTGCTTGTTTATACGTAAAATACGCCTGATCGCATGGCAAATAGATATACATTTTAATTATATAACCCATAATAATTTGATAATAATGCACTTGTTTAAATAATGATGCACTTGTTTATTGTATCTGTTGTAACTTTTGAACTGTTCGTTTAATACAAATAAAATATTAGATGAAATTGTACAAAACTAGTTTGTTTGGTATTTAGCCTTGAGGCAAGTTACATGAACTTCCCGATATGTTTAAATAATCGGCTTAATCAATAAAAAATAAATTCATTTATGAGTGATTAAAAGTATTCCGAGTGATTTCATTACACATAATTGAAAACGAACGAACACTTTGACTCGGAGTATTTTCTAAAAACAAATTTTCAAAAATCAATATTTTTATAATTGAACCAGTTTCCGTAGGACTTTAATGGTTTATTATGTTCAAGACCAAGTACTGTATCATTATGCCAAGTAAATAGTCTAATTTTAATTTTAATTAATGTCAAAAGAACTACTCATTTTCTCAAATTTTGATGATTTTTTTGATTCTCAAATTTTTAGAATCAAACTATTTGTCGTAAGGCCGTAATTTTAGCAAGTTGTATAAGACCATGGTGTATATCGCTAAAAAGAAATCCATAAAAAATTTTCAACAGTTAATTACAAGAAAACGGCTCGGTAGATTTTCACCTAAAATTAATCAGTACCATTCCCAACTAATATCTTTCGAACAGTTTTTGTTTTTTTAAAATCGGTTTGGTAGGATGAGCTTAAATGTGGACGAAAAGTTTAACACTTTTTTTCAAATTGCAAAGAAACGGCTTGGCAGATCGTCGCCCAAAACTGACAAACGATAGTCCTCGCCGAAATACATCAAATGGCTTTTGAATTTCTAAAATCGGTTCAGGCGTTTTTGAGAAAACGTCGATCAAAGGTCTAATTTTGACAAATGCCAAAAAACGATACCAATTTTTGCAAACTTTGACGAATTTTTAAAGCTGAACCAGTTATCGTAGGGCCGTAATATTTTACTATGATCTAGAAGACTATGGTATCTATCGTCAAAAAAATAATCATAAAAATCGTCGAAATTTTTTTGTTTAAAACTTTATTACAAGAAAACGGCCCAGTCGATCTCTACCAAAAACTAATCAGGTCGATTCCCAACCAATATCTTTCGAACGATTTTTGAATTTTCAAAATCGATTCAGAATTGCGGGCTAAAACGTGGGCGAAAGATTTTTCACTTCTCTGCTATTTACGAAGAAACGGCTTGGCCGATCGTCGCACAAAACTGACAAACAATAGCCCTCATCGAGATACATCAAATGGCTTTTAAATTTTTGAAATCAGTACAAAACGGTACAGTCGTTTTTGAGAAAACGGCGATTTACGGCAAAAAATCTGTTGGTGCACACGCACACACACACACACATACTTTTTCCAAATTTGGTCTCATTCGATTCAGAATGGCTTGAAACTTCGAGAAAACAAAATTAGAGAATCGGATTTTTTGATGAAAACATAGACTTCTCCTTTGGGAAGTTAATTAAATCATTCATAATGTTAACGCCTCATTTCCAACCCTGGTATAATTATTATATTTTATTATCTCCATGCAGGATAGCGACAATAAACCCTCATCCTTTATTATATAATTTAAAACGATAAAATAATCCCTTTCATTGTTACGCATCCTGTCCCAAAATCGGTCATCATATCAGTAATCCATTTTTCCTAGAATTTTTATCACCTGTCCCTAACTATATCATCCTATCATCCTTATATTTCCAAGAAATTCGCACTACCTATACCCAGTTTAAATTCTCCGTATCATGCAATCACCAACCAATACCTGATCGGTTGATGAATGTAATAACCACTGATTGGTTCCAAAATTGTAATGGGGTTTAGTATCAACTTAAATTTCACATAGTTAGGATCAGTCGTAAATTAACACTCAAAACTATAACATCTAACTCAAACTTCAACTATCTAATCATCTATAAGTCTAAATAAGTAATATACGTTAATTAAACATTTATTTATCATCTTTTATTTTTATTATTCAAACGGTCTGATATAGCCAATAACTAAATATATCTGGTCCTACGACAAAGTGCAAGTGTTCAATAGAGTTCGGCAGCATCCAGATAGATCACAAACTTCTTAAACACTTTGAATCTATTTTACAAACATACTTTTTTGGCCATTCAAACCGAATGGTCAATTTTAATAAACACTTAATATGATCTAACACTTCAAAGCCCTACTGCAACGCGGTATACTTTAAAATGGCTTTTGAAACGAGAGAAATGCACCAGACAAACAATCAAGAATTAAACTGTATATAAAGTTATTGTACCTGTGTAACTTTTAAACCGTTCGTTAAATTAAAATATTCAACAAATTTGTGCAAAATTAAATTATTTATAATACTGTTTAATAGTCCATAGCCCTACAGCAACTCGGTATACTTTAAAATGGCATTTGAAACAAGACAAATGTACCAGAAAACTAAATGTATACAGTTATTGTATCTGTCATAACTTTTAAACCGTTTGTCTAATATAATTAAAATATTTGACAAATTTGTACAAAATTAAATTATTTTTAATATTGTCTAACATTTCAAAGCCCTACGGCAACTCGGTGTACTCTAAAATTGCATTTGAAATGAAACAAATATACCGATGAACGATCAAAGTGAATTGATAATGCAGATTTGTAACAATTTTAATATCATTTAATGTATTATCCCAAACTGATAATTCTCCACATACCTTGCATCCGTTTCATTTATTTGACGTTCCACATAAATAGTATATTTCAGTAGATCATCATATTTTTGCTCGGTGAAAGCTTTTAAAATAAGCTCGTCGATTGAATCGAATTCCTCTTCTTCAAATGCCATCTCGTCGTATAATTTTATAGTTGCATCTAAAAACATACAAAACGTAAATATTAAAAAAGTGAGATAAACTTTTTCGACACGTGAAAAAGCAAAGACGTCGACCCGGTTGCTTCAGCGCCCGGGTCGACACGCCTACGATGTTATGCCTACGAAATGCAGACACGAAAAAAATTATATCAACTATTGCTTTACCATACCTGTTGCAAATGCATTTTCTAAAAATGGCATCAGGGCGGTTTTGCATTCATCTTTAATCTTTTCCAAGTCCGCCTGATGCGGTTGCTCACGCAAACTTGCCAGCTTTTCTATGGCATTCTGTAAACTCTGATGCAAAACATCGTTGTCCATCTATATGAATTATAATTGATAAATCAAAAACAAATATTCCACATATTTTATATAAATAAGTATGTATAATTTTTCTACTCACCGGTACATCCGATGGTCGATTTTTGATGAATTCTTTCAGAACAACAATTGCATTCTTTCGAACCAATATGCCTTTGTCACACAAACGTCCAACCGAACGATCCATGATCTTCAGGAGCCACGATAAAGGAAGGGCTGAGTCTTTTAATAATTTTGCAAAAACTTGCAAAACCTAAAAACAGGAAAAAGTTGACGAAAGCTACTAATGGTTATAACATATCGATCTATTTTGACCCGAAAGGTTAAAATTAATTAAAAGTCGTGGATTATTAACTTCTCGAAGGGTTGGTTATAGTAATAGGCCAAAAATCGAAAATGAAAATTTTTACATATCTTCAAGTTTCAGGGACTTCTGAATATGTTGGTATACCTCAGAAACAATTGTGTGTGTGTATGTATGTATGGATACAATTTTACGTCCACCTTTTACGTCGCAGGGATCGACCGATTTGTATGGTTTCAAAAAACATTCGATTTGTATTGATAGGGAGATGTGCTGGTTTTTGACAAAGGTAGAACCAAATGTTTCGGAGATACGGAGCAAAAGAGTGCAAAAAAAAGAAATCGAGTTTTTGAGAGAACGGAGCCTCCGATTTGAATGATGCAAAAAACATTCAATTTGTAATGATAGGGAGAAGTGGTAATTGGTTTTTGGCAAAGGCAGGTCCAGTCGTTTGGAGATACAGAACTAAATGTGCAAAAAATTGCAGTTTTTGAGAGATTATTTTGGGGAAAAGATTTTTTTAACTTCCCTTAGGGTAAGTTATTGTAATGGGCCGAAAATCGGAATTGAAAATTTTTACATTTCTCGACGTTTTGAAGGTTTCTGAACGTTTTGGCATACCTCAGAAAAAATGGATGTGTGTGTGTGTGTATGTGTGTGTGGATACAAATTTCCAGTCACGTTTTAGGGCGCACGGATCAACCGATTTGAATGGTTCAAAAAACATCCGATTCCTATTGATAGGGAAAAGAGCTGATTAGTTTTTGGCAAAGGTAGGTCCAGCCGTTTCGGAGATACGGAGCAAAGAGTGCAGAAAATAGAAATCGTATTTTTGATAGAACGGAGTATCCGATTTGAATGATCTAAAAAACATTCAATTAGTAATGATGGGGAGAAGTGTTTATTAGTTTTTGGCAAAGGCAGGCCCAGCCATTTTGAAGATACGGAGCTAAATATGTAAAAAATGGCAGTTTTTGAGAGAACTAAGCGTCCGATTTAAATGATTCAAAGAACTTTCTGCTTGTCTTAACAAAATAATCGATTTTGGAAAAAAAATTTGACCCATTTTTTTTTTTTTTTTTAGTATTTTGTATATCGAAAATATTTGTTTTTAATTCTGACTATAGTTCTAATATACTTTACAAATAATTTCAACTCTGCAATTCAGTTTATATAATATTTATAAATATTAGACAATGTTACAATATTTATAATAATCTATTGGAAACATTCAGTAATCCTCGAACATTTCGTTACGGTACGGGAAGTTCCAGCAATTTGCCTTAAGGCACGATGCCACCCACCCCACTAGTTCAATTTTTTTTTTAATTTCCAAAAAAATTTTTTTTGAATATCGAAAATAATTCGGATTTTTTTAATTTTAATTCGGTACGGATGTTCCAGCAATTTGCCTCAAAACACGAAGCCAAGCACCACTAGTTTTTCCTATTTTACAAATTGTAGCTGTAATGTTATAATATAAATTAGGCTACTTCATTATTACATATGTTACTTGTTACCCGATAATATGATTTTTTAGTAATATTTGATGATTTAATAAGCCGTTTTTTCGTAATAAATTGTTGAAAACATTTTTATTTTAACGAGTACTGAACCAATAAGAAAACAACATCTAAGTTTATAAATTTTAAGTTTTGCGCATTCAAAGTTTAACTGTTTTTTTCTCAACAATTTTGTTCTAAGAGTGTTAAATTGTTGTAAATATAATTGTAGATAATATAATTAGCTTTCTAAGAATATATAATGATAATATTATTTTTAATTAAAATATAACAAAATAAATGCAATTTTAAACCAAAGCGTTGAAGCCAAAACGATGTGCGCGTCTGACGACGATATTAATTGCAAAGTTCAATAAATTATTTTTATATAAACTTGGTCTAAAAGTTACAAAATGTTATATACCGATTTATGGATGAGTTTATTGACTTTTTAGTCATATATCATCTTCTTATATATAAAAATAGAGCTCTCGATCAAATGATCTGGTAAAATTCGACAACGGCTAAACCAATTTGGCCAGTCTTAGTCTTAAAAAATTCATGCCAATCCAGAGATAGTCGGAAAGGTGAGATAATATTTCAAAATCGCGTAGTAACTTTACATTTTTAATTTGAAAATTTTTGTAGAAGCGTAATTTAAATAAAACAATGGACGGTGGCTAATACGTGAAATGTCAAACATTTTTCACAGATGATGTTCAATTAAGTTGAATAGGATGTTTTACGTGAATATTATTTAATTATGTAGTAAGTAGTTTTGTTTGTAGTTTTATTTATATTCAAAAACGTTATTAAACGGGCCGCAAGTGTTACTATAAACTTAAAATATTAACTTTTTTGAAATGTTACTTTCAAACTTTTTGGCTTTTGAAGACTTTGCTATTTGAATACTTTGCTATCGGGAGATAAACAGTGATCTTTGAAAATCCATAATAAAAGTATTTTCTTCCGTTGGTAGATTTTTAGCACTAGTTAAAAATGTAATCATTTTGTAAAATACTTTAAAATTAAAATAAGACTTTAAACCTGTTTGCCACCTGGCCATTCCAAGTTACCCCGCCTATAGGGTAAAAAGGTCTAGATAACAAATTTTTGAAAGACATAAAAAAGCACATTTCTACTGTGATAAAGTAGAAGACAGTTTTACTAAACGTAGTCAGATAATTGTTCGTTTGTAATTTGCTATTTGTTGTAATATAATTGTTATGGTTTTTACAATATAGTTAATATTTGCTCAAGGTCAAATTGGACCTTTGTGCCTCGCCCTACGCTACATATATACTTTTTGTTAAATTTACTTTAACTCGTCAAATGTAACTTGAAACTTTTCAAAAAGCAGGTCAAAGAAGAAATACTTAATTCATTTTCTATCTCTCCTCGCGGAAATTTGAAAAATTTGTATAAGTTTATTAGTATTATTTACAATTATACACAAAATCCAGAATCCAAAAAAATCTGAAAAACTTGAAAGGTAATCAATAAGTCAAAAGACCAAAAAAGACAGATTGGATTATACCAGCTTTCTATAGAAAGTGTATAAAACTGTGTTTGATTGTGTTGACAAAATATAGACAAACTAATTAGATTTATTGTTTTTATAATGCCTCATTGTATATAGCAGCATTGAAACAATACATCCTTATACACTTAAAGTATTAATATTTTTGATTCTCTAGCAATTGTTTAGAATAGACCTTACTTAGCAAAACAATGTTTGCTAATTACTAATTACTTTTGACGCATATGTTGATTTATGTCTTATGTTTTGCATGAAATTGATGTATATTTTTACAATTTATATTTTGATATATATATATATATATATATATATATATATAAAAGTTTGTAAATGAATTTTTCAAACCTTTGACCGAATGCCAGCAGCAACATCATGCAACATATCATATAAATCCTCAAGTAAACCATCTCTGATTTCTTTGTCCTCCTGGCTTAATCCTTCAACATTATAGACTTGTCTCAAAATCTCTCCAATTATACTAACATAACATATTCGAATACTGGGAATCTGCAAACATACAAACAAATGTACAAAACAAAACAATTATACATGTATGTAATTCCTATTTACATCGAAATTCTCAACCGACTGAATATCTCCCAACAAAGGCACCATTTCCTTGGGCCTCACCACCGCCAAATCATTCACAAAATTCATCATCTGCTTCAAATCGACGCTGTCACCACTCGATTCTTTCTCAACGAGGACCAGAATTTCCTTGGTGAGAATACTAACAATGGAATTGATTTCAAAGTTGTCTTTTATTTGAAGCACGCCTTGTATTAACGTGTTCTGGTAGTTTATATCTGTGTTTTTGATGATGTGAACGAATTTTATGACGAAGGTGCTAGCATGATTGTAGCTTTTGAGAAGATTGCCGAGAATCTGAAATATCTTTTCACGGATTACTTCTGATTTTGAAAAGTTGTGATCTTTTAAGCTTTCGTAGCAGCAGTTGCTCAGAAGCCTAGAGGAGAGGATAAAAGTAATAGTAATAATATATATATATATATATATATATATATATATATATATATATATAGGGCCGGTCCTGGGGTCCTTAGCGCCCGCATGCAACTTTTTTTCTAGCGCCCCCCCCCTATTATTATTTTCACCGTTTTAATAGTTTATCATTAAAATTATATAAATATTTACATATTTTTTAAAAATTAATTTTTAATTATTCTGGATTTGGTACACAAAATATTAAATATAATCTAGAAAAGTAAAAATTTATTGATTTTAAATTTATTTATTATTATCGATATTAATAAATAAAACAATCCCTATCATAATTTCATATTTTAGTAATTTTCAATATGTAGTAAATTGGTTAAGGATGTAAGTTCGACTACCATAGCAAAAGAATTAATATTTTTGTTAGATTAATGTTATAGAATTTAAGAAATGCATTTCAGAAATAGTATTTATTATTTTGATATCAAGATCTTTATATCAACAAAAATATTAAGTGAAATAAATGGATTTAGTGCACAAAAAATTAGATATATATAAGAGCGTATAAAATATATTGATTTTAAATTTATTTAAAAAATCCAGGCGATTCGGGTGTTGATTATAATCAAGTATTTTGAAATTTTCAATTATTTTTAACGTATTTGCAATATTAATATTTAAAAAAACTTGCATTTAATTTTCAAACACTCGTGTTTCATGTTGGATTTTTTTAAATTTTAATTTAATTTAATTTTTCATCATTTACAATATCCAAAATTGCGTCGTAAACTTCTCCTTATTGATATCGTAAGAGACGTCATATTCAGAATATCAGCTTGTTGTTTTAAAGTTAAATTTTTAACGTATTTTAGAAGTATTGTTCAAAAATCAGTAAAAAATGCAAAGAAATTACACATTTCTTGAACAATATTGAAAAAAAATTTTATTATAATTGATATGTATTATTTCTGTATAGTTAATAATTATTAAATTTAGAATATGAACATCACTAGGTATAAAACAAGTCTTAAGATTTTCGTTCCTAATTAAATTTTGCTTCCATTTTTCATATTTATTCCACGCATGTCTTCAACATTCAAAGTTCAACAGATGCGAAACATTTGCAACAAAAGCGAAAGTTACAATTCAATTTCTGGGAATAAACAAGTCATTTTCTAAGCATTGACTCCACATTTTTTATAATTTGTTTATATTTTTTAACAAGTTCCAATTCAACTAAATCAGCTCGCAATTTTTTGTCAACAATGCCCAACAATTAATTTAATCTTTCGCAGGTTTGCGCTTATGGAATTGAACACTAGATAATTTCTTTTTTGATTCCACGGTAACTTCAAACAAAAAAAATTGAATAAGTAGATTAAGCAATAAACAGAGCTGTTATTTACTAATTTGCAGAATTATTAATCGGTTAATTGTTTCTACTGATATCACATTGCAAAATAAATATGCTTTTTGTGTCTCCGTATCCCTAGTCAAGTTAAATTATTTATTATAATTAAGTATTCTAGATTTTAAATAAATAATTCTAGATTTTATATAAAAAAAATATAAATATTATATTATAAATTTAATTTCCGAAACTCGTTTTGGCGCCCCCTAAGGCTTCTGCCCGCATTTTTTGCATGCATCGCATGCAAGGCAGGACCAGCCCTGTATATATATATATATATATATATATATATATGTATATATTTATTCATAAGCAAGCCATAATCAATAATAATAGATATTATTTCAGGCTCTTGTCAATCTTATTCATAATTAATATTAAAAGGATTTTATAATAATCATAGTAGTTGCACAAATTTTGCTTCTGAAAAAAAGCATTTGAACATTAAATACAATGTTCATCATCAAGTTCATCATATTAAAGTCTATTTGACCACGAGTCAAACTCAAAATTCTTGCACAAAGTTGAAAGTTATACTCATTCAAATCCATAAAAATTTAGGTTAATAAAATAGCAATAAAAAAAACATGGTTGTACAGGCGATCAAATGGTCAGACTATATAGATAAGGATTATGCAAGAAAATAGTTATTGAAATCAAATTGAGAAAATTCAGTAATGTCATAAAAAGCTAATTCTTTATTATATTATATTTTATTATTATATAAATTTATACTCACTCTGTGAATTGAGCTTCCGGCACTGGTGGGTCATACAACGTTGGCAGATTTTTGCTCGAGACACTCAATAAAAATGTCAGTACATGTTCTTTAATCACGCACCATTTTTTATATAAAACATCAGCATTACTCTTTGCTTTACTTTGCTTCTGTTTTTTCTGATCAAACTAAAAACAAAAATATTAAAAATAACCACCCTTCCGTACCCAAGAATAAGTCTACAAAGTTTTACATAAATTTTCCATTTACCTTTTTATCTAGCTCTGAAATAAACTCATTTGTTATGTACAAAACGATTTTGGTCTCGTTCAGAACATTGACGTCATTGTACATTTTCTTAGTGAAATACAAATCTAATTTTGTGTTCAACTGAGACCAAACCTTTCGCAAGGTTTCGGAGTAGAAAGTTATGTATTTCCAATCCAGAGCGCCCAAGTGTTTTGTGACATAGTAGTAGACATCTAGAAAGTGCTGTATGTAGTCTTCTAAGTCACTTTCGCCAAAATTTCTTGTCAATTCTGGAAAGAAGAATAATAGATCAGATTATAGATAATTCTGTCTCCATTCTGACAAACTACTATCAAATAACACAACAGTTCTAGAATGGATTGCTATAGCAATTAACGACATTACACTTGTTATTTACTATAACAAAATTATTTCCTCTGACTTTTTCGACTTACCTCTACAATCGTTTGATAGATTCTCAATCCTAAGTTTTCTTCTAACACAGAATTCATTGTCACTTTCCACTAAATCGCTTTTTTTAGCAGGAATAATAAAAACACTCGTCATTTTCCGACTATTGTTAAAAACGCTATGACAGTTAAACGTTTAAAGCCAACAAGACAATGAACAAGAGATGCAATGGCTCCGTAGAATGGCGCGCTGTACGTTTGACAGTGTTGCCAGATGAGATTGTTTTTGCCGTTAAAATGACCGGTATATTTGAAATTAAATTTTACATGTAACAGTATTCTTATATAATTTTAGCAAGATAAACTAGCTGTAAGTGGAATTCTGTCTTAAGGCAATTACGGCATTGTGCCTTAAGGCAAATTGCTGGAACTTCCCGTACCAAAAATTATTATTTTTTTAAAAACGATTAACATTTTTGAAAAAAAAAATACTTCGAAAAAATAAGATTTTTGAGAAACTATAAATTTGACAAAAAATTACTTTTTTTGAAAAAAAAAATTGAAAAAAAAATTAAAAAAAAGAAATTTTTTTTTAAATCTTTTTTTTTGAAAAAAAAATGTTTTCTTTATTTTGACATATGTTGGAAGATCTGAACTTTTTTTCAAAGCAATCGTACTGCTTTAACTGCATAGGGACAGAATATAAAGCGCGTAAGCGCCGCGCCGCGTCGCTGTCTAACGGGTAAACATTGGTACGGAACCCATAGGAATGTAAACAAAATTTATACTTACTGTTAAAATCTCTATAAAATATCTGATAATTTGATGTGCATATGTCTAATGATCATTTTTGACCGCCAAATGGCATTTTTTTTTCGTTAGATCTCCGAAACCGCTAGACCTGCCCTTATGAAAATTTGAGCAAATCTTCATCTTGTCAATACAAGTAAAATGTTTTTTGAATTATTAAAATCGGACGCTCCGTTCTCTTAAAAACTGAGGTACCATTTTTGGCACTTTTTGCCCCATATCTTTGGAACGGCTAGACCTACCTCCGCCAAAAACTAATCAGCACGTCTCCTTATCAATACGGATCGAATGTTTTTTAAATTATTCAAATTGCTTCATCCGTGTTCCCGAAATCGTCGACGAAAATTTGTATCCGCACACACATACATACACGCACACACACACACACACACACACATACATCCATTTTTTCTAAGGTATGCCAAAATATTTAGAAACGTAAAGATATATAAAAATTTTCATTTTCGATTTTTTTGCGATTACTATAACTTACCCTACGGGAAGTTAACTAGTTGCAAGTAGCATTTTGCCTTAAGGTAAGTTGCATAAACTTTCCAATACGTGGATTATGAAATCGACCTTATCAACCAGGAGTGTAAATTAGTAACTTTACTTACTTTAGTGGGGCGCATGGCATCGTGCCTTAAGGCAAATTGCTGGAACTTTCCGTACCAAACATTATTTTTTTTCAAAAAGATTAACATTTTTGAAAAAAAATTACGTTAAAATGACCGTTATATTTGAAATTGAATATTACATGTAACAGTATTCTTATATTATTTTAGCAAGATAAAACTAGTTGCAAGTAGCATTTTGCCTTAAGGTAAGTTGCATAAACTTTCCAATGCGTGGATTATGAAATCGACCTTATCAACAAGGAGTGTAAATTAGTAACTTTAGTTACTAACTAGTGGGACGCATAGCATCGTGCCTTAAGGCAAATTGCTGGAACTTCCTGTACCAAAATTTTTTTTTTCAAAAACATTAACATTTTTGAAAAATAATTACTTTGCAAAAATTAGGTTTTTGAGAAACTATAAATTTTTGACAAAAATTTACTTTTTTTGAAAAAAGACTTTTTAAAGAAAAATTTATTTTGAAATATTTTGGAAATTCTGAACTTTTTTAACTTCTCGTAGGGTTAAGTAAAAATTGAAAATTTTTACATTTCTCGACGTTTTGAAGGTTTCTGAACATTTTACCTCAGAAAAAAGGATGTGTGTGTGTGTGTGTATGTATATATGGATACAATTTTTCGTCCACGTTTTCGGGCGCACGGATCAACCGATTTGAATGGTTCAAAAAACATTCGATTCCTATTGATAGGGAAATGTGCTGATTAGTTTTTGGCAAAAGCAGGTCCAGCCGTTACGGAGATACGGAGCAAACAGTGCAGAAAATAGAAATCGAGTTTTTGAGTGAACGGAGCATCCGATTTGAATGATCTAGAAAAAATTCAATTAGTAATGATTAGAAGAAGTGACTATTAGTTTTTGACAATGGCAGGCACAACCATTTCGAATATACATGGCTAAATATGCAAAAAATGGCAGTTTTTGAGAGAACTAAGCGTCCATTAAATGATTCAAAGAACTTTCAGCTTGTTTTAACAAAATAATTGATTTTGGAAAAAAAAATGTATCATTTTTTAAAAAAAAATTTATTTTAATTTTTTTTACGTTTTTTGTATATCGAAAATAATTTAGATTTTATTTTTAATTCTGACAAAAGTTCTAATATTCTTTAAACAAATAATTTTAACTTTGCAATTCAGTTTATATAATTCTTATTAATATTAGACAATGTTAACATATTTATAATAATCTATTTGAAAACATTCAGTATTCCTCGAACATTTCGTTACGGTACGGGAAGTTCCAGCAATTTGCACGATGGCACGTTGCCATACACCCCACAAGTTTTCAAAGCAATCGTACTGCTTTAACTTCATCTTTTCATCATTCTTCTTTTATCTATGATACACACATACATCAATTTTTTCTAACAATAAGGTATGCCAAAATATTCAGAAACCTTTGAAACGTAAAGATAAATAAAAATTTTCATTTTCGATTTTTTGCGATTACTATAACTTACGGAAGGTTAATTATTAGCTACAAAACTTTAAAATATGACAGAATTTTTTTGGAGTGTATGTATATATATATATATATATATATATATATATATATATATATTATATATACTAGCAAACCCGACCCACTCCGTTTCGCCACCAGATGGTTTCGTGAGAAAAAAAGAAAAAAAATTTTGTTTGTTTTATATTTAAAAAGGAAAAATTTGATTTTATTACACAACAGTAATGAATTTATTTCGATTACAAAAATGAAGTGTTTTTTAGTTGAACTTCTCTAAGTAAATGAAAGTGAATCCGCAAATTATCCGTTTCATTGAAGTGCTCTTTGGTAAACCACATTTTTTGTTTTTTGGTCTGACGTTATCACAAACAATGCGGATGATTTTCCAATTCGTGAATAGGCAACGTATAACTGCCCATGTAAAAAACAATGATTTTCTAAATAATCTATTTGAAATTTATCCTGCAAACACTAAGCGATTGGCCTTGCGACTTGTTATTGCGAACGCAAGGCGAACTGGAAATTGCAATCGTTTGAAGTCAAACGGAAGACCAGTCGGAATCATTGGTATGTCACCAAATCGCCAACAATTTTTGATTGAATGGTGAAATTCAGTGCGTGTACATCATTTTTCTTTGCGGCAAGAATTGCTAGTTGACGTTACCAGGCATAATTCTGATAATTCTCACGATGCCATACACCATTAATTTTCTTAGTTATAAACTTTGCGAAGCCCGAGACCTTTCCAACGAATGCAAAATTGTCGAATTCGGTTCGTTCGTTCTGGAGTTATATCGTCAGGAAGAAAAACCCGACTTATTTTTATAAATATGTAGATAATCTATTTGAAATTATTTAAAACAATTATTGATTATTTTCATTGCTCGAATTTTTAATTACGGTGTTTGAAGTTCCCAGCAATTTGCATTGAGACACGATGCCATGCACCACTAATTTTCTTAGCTATAAACCCGAGCCCGAGATCTTTCCAACGAATGCAAAATTGTCGAATTCGGTTCGCGCGTTCTGGAGTTATATCATCAGGAAGGAAAATCCGACTTATTTTTATATATATGTAGATGTACTTCATAATTGGCATTTATGCTATATTTATTGCTAGTGTTAATGAAATTATTATATAGATTAATTAAGGCAGTTTATTTAAATGCTTTAGACATAAATCGATTAACAACTATTTAAATAATTGAACTGCATTAAAATATATATCACAAATGCACAGAGCGTGTTTTGACTAAATATTAATCTATTTAACATCACCCAGCATTTTATAATGTAGATTTGGATAAGTCTTTAGTCTCAGAAGCTCCAACTCAGTCTGCAATTCCACTAAAGTGCATTGTTGTTCTTGAATGCGTTTAACTAGACGAGCTCTTGTTGTCACAGCTTTCATTCTAAAATAAAAATAGCATTTAGAAAGTATTTTTAAAAAAATAAGCCTTAAGATAATTTATATTCTATATTAAAGGGCTAATTTTAAAGCTTTAACAGTGTTTTGAGATGAAACTTGTAACGCAACTTCCAACAAGTTTTTTTTTATTAACTTCCCGAAGAAGAAGTTTATGTTTTCATAAAAAAATCCTAATCGCTAATTTTATGTTTTCTCGACGTTTAAAGCCATTCTGAATCGAATGAGACCAAATTTGGTAAAAGTAGGTATGTGTGTGTGTGTGTGAACAGATTTTTTGCCGTAAATCGATGTTTTCTCGAAAACGGCTGGACCAATTTCAAAAATTTAAAGCCACTCGATGTATCTCGATGAGGACTATTGTTTGTCAGTTTTGTGCGACGATCGGCCAAGCCGTTTATTTATAAATCGCAGAAAAGTGAAAATTTTTTCGTCTACGTTTTAGCCCGCTATTCTGAATCGATTTTGAAAATTCAAAAACCATCCGAAAGATATTGGTTGGGAATCGTGCTGATTAGTTTTTGGTAGAGATCGGCCGGGCCGTTTTCTTGCAATAAAGTTTAAAAAAAAAAAATTCGACGATTTTTAGGATTATTTTTCTGACGGTAGATACCATAGGCTTCTAGATCAGACTAAAATATTACGGCCCTACGAGAACTCGTTTAACATTAAAAATTTGTCAAAGTTTGCAAAAATTAGTATCGTTTTCTTGGAATTTGTCAAAATTAGACCTTTGATCAACGTTTTCTCAAAACGCCTCAACCGATTTCAAAAATTTAAAGCCACTCGATGTATTTCAATAAGGACTATCGTTGGTCAGTTTTGTGCGACCATCTGCCAAGCCGTTTCTTTGTAATTTGGAAAAAAGTGG